GTCTTTTAAACAACTTAGGAAATGCTATGCTATTGCGTGGTGTTCGATCGCTGCATCAATGTCATTAAAATTTCCGGATAACTCGAATCGTGTCTTGAGAACGTTGCCAAGGTGGTTGAGGTAAAGAGTTCTCTCAGGAGCGCCAGGTTCTGCGAGCTCGACTGCAGCTTGGTAGAGTTCGATTGCACGATCGAGATCCTTGGTGTTGTTAAGATATTGGAAGCGCCTCCCAAATGACCCTGCGACCTCGCCTAATCGAAAAGACTTGCTGGGGTCGGTTTCTGGTACCAGTTCGGCCCATGCCTCTTGTTGTATGATGATTTCATCAAGGTCTTCGACCCTTTCAAATCGTTGAAAGCGCATTTCCAACGACTCTACGAGGTTCCTCAAAAAGTGAAGTTTGCCAGAGTGATCGTGTGGCACAAGGCAAACCGCTAGCTCTTGTTGCTCAACGGCGTTATCAAGGTCGGCGAGTTCCCCTGAATATTCGAAGCGCTCTCGAAAGCAGCCTCCAAGGTTGTTACACTGGACAGCCCGCATAGAATGGCTATCTAATGGAAGATCCATCGACCTTTGGACTTTTTCTATCGCGTCATTGATGCCCTCCAGGCTTTGGACTAATTTGGAACGACTTAAAGTCACTATTCCTAGATTGTTCAAAACTTCTGGAAGATTTGGGTCATCTTCTCTAGTCCTGTCGGCGATAGATTGAAGTTGTGTAATTGCTTGCTCCAGTTTTTGCAGCTGCTCGTCACGGCCATGGTCGGGGATTTCCATGCGTGTGTACATGATCATCATCGGGCTTTTGTCCTTTATAGCTGGTGGTTCATTCTTTGGCTGGTTATTCGAGAGTTCGTTTTGAGCATTGTCCAAGGGTACCGTTTCCGTTTTGAGAATCAAATTTGGATGGTCTTCGTGACACATCAACGGTATTTCTGTCATGGGGTTTGTTAATGACCTGCGAGAGCATAGTAATCCACCTACCATATCGTTCTCCGGTCGCTAGCGAAAGCTCTATCCCGCTGAGTGTGATGAACCCAAGCAATTGGCGCTCATCTCCATCCACTTTCATCAGGACAGACAGCGTAAACTCCATATCTACGTCATGTCTATAGAATTAGATCAGAAACACTAAAGATTTACGATGGGAACACATACACAACAAGGATTTTGGGGGCATACCACATCCCAAGGCCCGCCCTGACGGACAGTAGATCGTTTTTCTGTAACACTTTTCCATTTGAAGTGAGCTCCAGTATGAGTTCCGTAACATCCTTCAGAAAGCAGTCGTCCTTGGTCGCCAGTTCGACGGTGAGACCTAGGCACAGGTGTTACTTGTGAATTCGTGTACAGAAGTGCGGTCTCTTACATCTGAGAAGCAAGACACTACAATAGTTATTAACAATGATACCAATGGAGGTCAGAAACCCACCTCATATAGTTTAGGACCTGGGCTTAGACTTCGCGACCGAGTGGGAGCGAGATGGAAGGGTCAAACAAAGGGCCAGACCATTACAACGAATGGGAAGTGATAAGTCCCATATGGCTATTTGTGCCTGTCACATCCTGCTGGGTGATGGATCTTGTGCATCAGAGCTGGGACGCGATGCGGTGTAAACTTGATGTGCTGGGAGACAGGTTCCTACTGATCGGAGATCAAGCACGGTATTGGCCAAAGCTCATCATTGGAAGTCATGGGCGTAGGATATGGTATTGCGCTGCATTGAAGGGTACAATGGGCCGGCCGAGAGTTAGGACCAGCGTATCGAAAAGAAATTTCAAGGTTGCAATACACGAATATATGGGTTGTTGTAAATAATCGATTAAAATACGCCTTTTGATCACGTATAGAGAAGTAACGAGTTTATAGATGTGGAGGAAAGGAAGTAGATAGTTACAAATTCAAGCTCCGCCATGCACCGATTCTTTGACCATCGCTGGTGGAAGTACTAGGCAGCAAAACCTTCAATCCCAATCTTCAAGTTTCTCAAGTCTTTCTCACAACTCACAATCACACGATTTTCTTGTGGAAAAAGAGCTCTTGTATAACGAGACAGCATAAAAGACATAACGATGCGACACAAATGTGTATGTGTATGTATGTGTTGGTGGTAGTGGTGTGTATAGAATGTTCAATGTAAGAATCACAGGAGCACACGCGTGCCAGATAGAAAGGGGGGAAAAGGGGGGTAAGGCGTTCGGGGTGATTGGTATCCCAATGTACACGATAAAGACGACGACGACAGAGATAGAAAAAGGGAAAAATGCAGATGCGATATCATTGTGGGGTGGTAATAGATTGATTAAATGACAAGTGGGACGACAAAAGGACCCAATGGAAAAACTCTTTTTTTTTTGGGTTGTTGGGTTGCGATTTCGTTGAATACGTCTGCCATTTTTGATGACCAGGGCTCGTCAGAGGGTACGGAGTCGGGGTCGGTCGCAGGAGGGGGCTCGGAATGTTGCAGGTTTTTTCGTCGAGGTATTAGATGGTTGGGGAATGTCTGCACGACACAGACAAGGCGGTGTTTAGTTGATGGTGAGTAAAGGAACTAGTGAGAGAAAAGGAAAATCATGTCCATGGCCACAAGGCAGTTATGAAGAAAAAAAGTGAAAGCCCGAGATTGTAAAGAAAGGGATGCGCATAGAGTGTTTGTAGAGACAGATTTGAACGAGTGCATAAAGCAGAGGGGGATAGGCGTCGGATAGAACCAGGGGAAAAGAGAGAGTAGAGACGCGACCTTGACCGAAGAGAGAAATCGTAAATATGCGGGGTGAGGTTGATAAAAAGCGACTCGGCCACCAATAGAGGTCGAGGATAGATTCGCAAGCGGAGTGGGAGTTTGGCCCAGTCCATGAGCCAAAAAACCCATCCTCCACATAAGAACGAACAAATAGGAGGGTAACGCTTTGTACATAGGTCGGGGTCGCGCGAAAATGTTGTCACAACAAGTCGGAACCGAGGGGGGCGACATCAGAGCCATAACAGCAACCATAATGAGTAATAAAAATCGTCTATATCACTTCATCTATAACTGGCTGCTCCACGTCAGCATAAACTCGCTTCATAAACTCTTGTTTGCTCACC